TCTTGCTGTCATTATAAAGGAAGCCAATGATATATAGCAAATGCAATCTTTAAGATTGTGGATAACTTTTGATCCCTTGGCTATGTTTGATGTGTGGTTCAGCCCTGGTTCCCAAGCACTGTGGTTCCCATGGGACTGACAGCATCCACCTGACACAAGTCGCTGTGGTAGGGGAGGCTTTGGGGTTGCAGACACCAGCACAGCCAGAATGTGTGGGGTTCAGACAGAAGGCCAGTCAAGCTGTATTCCACAGCAAGCATGGGAGAGGGATGCTGCTCCTGTCTATGAACAACCCCAATAACTTCATGGTCTCCCTGGAGGCTGTTGCTCATAGGAAAAATCTTGGCATTTTGAGGACTCATGATGTAGAAAGGTTGGCCAGCCATAATGAAGGATTATAACTGCTCCATTGAAGGAAAGAAAGCTTGAGGTTGGCTGAGCTTTTCAATGTCTTTGATAAAGATCCTACGATTTTCACACCTTGAGAAACTGGGATAGTTCTGGGGCAAGGGAGGTGTTGGTATTCTACTGGGCAGATTTCACTCTCCCAGCTGTCCCATGGGCTTTCAGGAGCAAGTCAGTCTGTGGCCCTCAGCCAGCAAAGCACTTAGATGGGAGCACACCTCTCAGTCCACAGATCATCTTGCTGAATTTGTTAGGGATCCTTATACACTTCCAGGAAACAGTGTGCTTTGCTGGGCTAGGTCCAGCATTTTTCATGTCCCCCTTTGAGTAAAGCTCTTTCACATCCCTTGAAGCCATATTAATATGCTGGATGGGCTTATGCACACTGACCAGCACTGCACTGCTTGCTTGAGTCATAACCACACTTTCAAAAATGAATCTACTTAAATTTAAAAAGCACCATTCTATTTGGGTTGAAAGCAATATAAGCACCAGCAAAAGGAGAGCTGTGCCTACACACCATTCCGGTGATAAACACATGTACTCTTGTTTACTCCCTAAATAGTAAGACTTTGAGCTCAAAGTTGGCAATATTGGAGGGGATCAGCACATGGCTGAAAACAGCAGGTGGGAGCAGAGGAAGAGATGGTGTATTACCCTTTTTGTTATGGATGGATCCCAGAGCCCCAAAGGTGGCACTGCAACAGCAACTTGAGTGATCATGACAATAAGGGTCAAGTGGTAATGTTGGGATAGAAGACCTTGTGGAGATGACAGAAACCACCCTAAGTAGCAGCAATGGACTGCCAGGGATTAGGGCATGAGACAAGAAATGTCCTGATGAGGGCATGCCTAGCTCTGTGGTGCAGAGAATATCTAAACACAGGGAATAAAGGAAACTGGGCAGTAGGCAAGTGAGCTGGACAGTGATAATTTCAGAGAGCACTGGCATTTGCTTAATGCTGCTGTTGGGCAGATGAAGGGGCAGGCAGCAGCAGTCTTGACAGATTCATGGCCACACAGCATCACTGTGAGCAGCTATGTCCCTGCCTGGGAAGCACAGAGGGTGTCATGGTAAATCCCAAGGCATGTGTTCCTGTTACTGACTTCAGAGAGACACCACCTGGGAGAGTTGTTGGAAAGGAGTCTCCTGATCTGACATGGTCAGAGATGCGTGTGGCTGAAGGTTGAATGAAATTGTAGGAAACCATTTTGATCAATGATGGCAGTCTGTGAATAATTTTCTGAGTATTTAACCTTCATGTGAGGGATAATGCTGTGCTGTATGTCATTAGAAAAACTATTCCTGTAATTTCCTCAGTGATGAACCTGGAGAAGGTAACTGTGTCACAAGATTTGGTGAAGGATGGATGCTCTGAAGATGAGAGAGGAAGCCAGCCAAGACAACAGGATTTGCAGAGGAACACATGAGAGCATGATTCAGTGGGCCACGATGGCTGGCTCTGTGGATGCTGCTGGAGTTGGCTGAGTATCCAATATTGGCCTGTTCTTACACTAACAGGCAGAAGCAGTGTGTGGTGGACTTACTTACACTCGTGTGTGTGTGTGCAAGAGGGATATGATGACATTCAACAGTTGGCAGTGGTTCTTCCAGTCTGCTGTTTCTTACCAGCAAATTTGTGTCCTGGTGTCAGCCACTTATACGTGTGCATGATTTAGAAAGGTGATTAAATTTTGTGGCTGAGGCTGTTAACATCATTTAAAATAACAGAATCATATGAAAACACAGCAGGAGAGAACTTCAGGAGGTCATGCAGACTCTTCCTTGTCCCAGGGTAGGCTAATTGCACTGGTGTCACTTCCGATGTGTGAATAATTTGTTCCTAAGGCTCTCCAACACTGGAAGCTCACAGCGCCCTTAGGGAGTTGTTTCCTCTCCTTCACTCTACCCACTGTTGAGAAGGCTGTGGGATTTTTGTTCATCATATCTGATTTGAGTATTTCTTTCTGGAATTTAAAACATGGTTTCAGGTGCTATTATCCATATATGGGCACTGAAAACCAAAAATGCTCACTCTGATTTATGGACTGCACCCTCACACTTGTAAAATAAGAGAACTGAGTTGGAGGCATTCCTGCCACGCAAGGGAAATTAGTGGCGAAACTGAGCTTCTTCCAGTGGCACTGGGCTGACACAGAAACCAGAGGTGGCTGAGTAAAGAGACCTGCATGAAACACCCAGATTATACAAATGAATAGGCTGAAACATTGCATGGTTCAGCAGTTCTCTGCCAGACACGTGTGTCTGAGAGATGGCCAGTTGCAGCAATCTTGTAATGGGGGTCAGAGAGTTGAGAGGAGGAAGGCAGTAACCAGAGGAATTAGCCCAATTCAGGGAATCTGAACTTTAGACTTAAGAGTATTTTAGGGGAAGAAAATTGAGCAAAAATGCTTAATTGGGTGCATTGGGAGGACGGACTATTTCTTGTCACAGTGGCACAGTGCAGCAAGACTCAATAGCAAGTTCAGGGTTCTGAAGTGGTGCTAGGGACAGATCTGTGAGTTGGCTCCTACCAAAAATGGTCTTTGGGACATCCATTTACGATGCACAACAACTGTGGTTAGATGTTGGCCATCACTTTGTTTTGCTGTGCAGGATGGGGGAAGATGGGTCTCCTGCAAGTGAGGGCAGGTGATGGGAGGTTGTGGGGTGACCCAGCTCTGCTTGTGTGCCATGGCTCCAGCTTCCCTGAGGAGGCACATTTCTTGGGGAGTGAAGGGGCTGAGCTGAAGAAACAGCAGGGTGACTTTCTGGCAGGCGGGAACAGAGATCAGGGCCTCGGTTGAGTCTCAGAGGCTCTGACTGCTGGTGGGAACTCACCAAGGAGAAGGAGGCAGGGAAATCACAAATCGGTTATTGACTCCTTTTCTTTTCTGAAACCCATCCCCAGCACTAACCGCATTTGAAAATACAGCTTCCAGGCTTTTTTTGCAATGGTTTCAAAAAACAATCTTACCTCTATAGAGACTTATTTTGCCAGCCCTATTTTTCCCTAGCTTTGAGTTTGCCATTGACATTAATTAGGACTTCCTTAGCCTCGTTAGCCTGGTGTTTTCCTTTGTTACTGAGAACAGTGAAGGTGACCTTGCTCACCAGGTGGATTTTCTGAGCTCTGACAGTCTAATCATTAATGTCTTAGGAGCAGAGGTAGGGATCTTACATGGGAAACTTGAGAAGAGCTATAAAAACATCACAGAGACAGCTGTCAGTGTCAGATGGCGTAGCTCCAACAATTCAAAAGTAGATATGTTTCTAATAAGTCATACTGTTCTCACACAGCACATGCTGTAACTGCACACACATTACACATATTGGGTGCAATGGAGTGAAGTGGTATTTTTGTTGCATGATAAGAAAATACAACAAATACCTACATGTGTAGCTCTGTTGCAAGTGGCTGAACTGGGCACACTGAGAGTAATAACCAAAATCTGATAATCTCCATTTTATTATCCAGAAAAATGGAACAGTGACGAGCACAATGATCTCTGGTGATCTGGTTTCAAATGATAGCTCACAGCACAGAGAAAGTTATTTTGGGGGCTTCACTCTACTTCCCACCTGTACAGTCATAAAACTGTAGAATCATTGACAACTCTAAGTAGGAAGAGACTTCTGGAGGTCATGTATTCCAAATCCCTGCTCAAAGCAGGTCCAACCACAGCAGGCTGCTCAGGTTCATATCCAGTCAAGTTGTGAGTATCTCAAAGGACAGAGATAACACTACCTCTCTGGGCAACCTGGTCCGTATTTGACCATCCTCATCACAAAACCCCACAGCATGCTTAAAATATGAGTGGCAATCCCAGGTGAACAGAAACCTAGGCATGGAATAACTGAGTTCTGCCTCTTAATACCAGGCAGCATCAGAAGACCTGTGTGGGTAAGTGTTTCAGGATGCTGTGATTGGTCTCACCTTCATAACATTACATACACTAAAAGAAGTATATAAACACAGAAGAAAATATTTGCCCATAGTAGTCTTTTTTTAACAGAGTACTGTGAAAACATAAAATTTTTAATTCCAGTGTGTCATCTATCACACGAAGTAAGAGTCTGACAACAGAAGAGTCGTCCTGAAGCATTACACTGCAAAGGCACAGATGTGGGTAGCAGAGCCGTACGCAGCAGCCAGCTGCACTAGTACCAGGCTTGACTTCCAGAAAACGCAGACTGGGAGCTGCTGCTTTTCACTGGCAAGCACAAAAGTGTTGATACTGTTTCTGACCCATTTGAATTGCATACTTCAACATTTCTGCAGTGGATTTCTAAACAGCTGTATCCAATGGGGCCTTGATCCTTGCAGGTACTTCTGAACGTTACTTAAGAATAACATACACAGCTTGCAGATTTGCCACTATCAGCTGCCACAAGCTACTGAAAAAGGTGGATTATTAAGACTATGCAAAACCAAAGCTGGGTATATAAATACCAGGCGAAACGCTTACATGTTGCTGAACATGCTGCCTAACATCAGCAACACGAGACAACAGCAGAAAGCCATGCAACGTATTTTGGCAGAAGCACGCAAACATTTCACAGCTTGTCCTCTGGATGCCATGCTCACACTTACATTAGTCTGTGTCATACTACCTTAACTTGTTTTAAGCATTTCCATCATCTGTGAGATAGGAAGGGAAAAACAGAATAGTTAAGGTATAATCAAATGAGATCTTGCACATCGTAGTATAATTTGTAAACAATCTCATTATTGGCTGTAGTGTGGAGGGTGTGAATGGTTCAGGCTTCTGTCTCAGTTCATCCAGACAGGGAAATTTCTGAAAGCCAGGTGAGTGGTTCAATGGGTTACTAAGGAGGTAGATGAAAAAACTAGGATTAACAGAGGAGAAACAGTGACAGAATATAAACAAACACATTAAAAAGTGAAGAATTTTTGTGTCTTACTGCATTTTCTTTCTATCAAGACAGAATCAAAACTCCCAGTAACACCTGTTGATCAGTGGACAATTTTAAACACTATGTTAATCTGGATATTTCAAAAATACCTGAATAAAGATGCAAAATTAAAAACCAAACAACCAAAAATCAGAACAATGAACTAGATCAAAGGTAAAACTACATCAGTTATCACCTCAGTATGTACGGATCTACAGGAGTCTTCCTTCTAGATGAGAAATTACAGTAATAAAATAAAAATAATACATCTAGAACTCATTGATACATTGCTCAACATTTTTGTTTATATTTCCAAAATCATAGGTACCATTTGAAAGACCCAGCCTACCAAATCCTTATAAGCACAAACTCTCCTAATGGCTTAGATTTTAAGGGCAGCCATGAATTGTGCTTTTAATTATGCACTCACAGAAATCTGCTCTGGTGAGATCTTGTGCCCAAGATGCTCTGAGAAAACCCAGGGGAACCTAAAGATACTTTGGATCTCAAAGCACTGTATCTTTCATCACCAACTCCTATAATTTATCATGAATTGACAGTACTTTGCATAAGTGTATAAACCTTTTGTGTCTGATGAGGAGATACTAAAAGTCACCTCCAAGCTGAAGGATTTGTATCAAGAAAAAATGTGTACTTGCACATCTATATATTATACTGCTGAACAGCTAAAACTCCATAACAAGCATGGAAGAAACAAGAGTCTCTCCTGAGGCAGTGGCAGAGTAATCAATTGGCCTCAACTTCTGCTATTTGAGAGAAGCCTCAAAGGAGATGCTAGAATAGATAGAATTTGAGACACTATCCTAAAGCAATCATTTCTTAACTAAGAACATAAACCAATGGTTCCACCATCACTTGAAAACTTCTGAAAAGAATTTAAGAACTTTAAAGTGTATTTGACACACAAACCATAAATAGCCAAAATAACATCAGTTGTATTTTCTAGCTAGATCTAATGCAGAAGAACTGTAAAATACAGAAGAGAAATCAGACACAGTAGCTGCAAATATCTAAATGCGCTGATGCATGTTCCTGGTGAAAATGATCAATATATTAACTTTTCTAAAGATTCACAGTAGGCAGTAAGAAAAAAAAAAGTCTCTCTGTGTGTGTGTATATTTTTTAAAAAAAGAATTTGCCGGATTTCTGTCTTTCTTGGAAGCTGTGACTGTTTATATATTGGTACTGGAGTGCCTCCATTGGCTTGTCTCCTACCATTATTTTGGCAATGAAACAGGGAACAGACAGAGGTGCTGAAGGATACGCACACTGGTTGAGTACTGAGATACAAAGCAAAGCAGCCATTTCATTTATAATGCTGGAAAAAGGAGGTAAAATAGCTTATTAAAAAAGTGATATTGACATAAATTTACTTTTTTCCCTATTTTATTTTGATCCTTCTGCATTGCAAGAGCCAACAATCAGGAATTTGTAGCGCTGTAATTGTTCTTGGCTCCCTGCCTCCCTCCAGCACATCCTGGTTAAGTGGAACCAATGCTGTTTCATGCACACTAGGCAGCAGTCGTTACAATTCAGCAGCATTACACCAATTGGACACACTTGAGAAATATCCTAGAAAAACTGAGACCCTATTCAAGACCTGATGAAGGCTACCATGCTCCACCTTTCCCCAGACACGTGAGCCTTCCCCAGGATTGCCCAAGGATGTTCCTGCCCCACCGGGCTTGCTGGCCATGCAGCCACCGAGGAAGGTGAGAAGTGCAGTCCCACTCCTGCGATGCTGTGGAGATGACCCAGGGGAGCTTGGGCACTTATTGCCTGTTCCATGGGCCTTGCTTTAGGCTCACCATCCCCATGAAGATGAAGGTGCTTAGTTACCACCCAGTTAGCATAAAACATACAGAAGTAGAGCCAACCTCACTGCTCAAGTCTCCTGGGGGATCTGCACAGGTTTATTGTCCCAGGCAACATCTTCTCTCCTCAGGAGACTCTCCTGCCACCCTCTTAGTTAGGTTAAGAACTGTTTTCCCTCCATATGTACATATCATGTAGCCATAGTAGGAATAATTTCTGGCCCATAACTGGTTAATAAACAATGTTTTCCTTTGGTCAGAGGTAAAACTCTTGTCCCTCCTTGAGTTCCGCCTTGGCTTCTTTCATTGAGGGCTGTACCTTTCACTGAGCCTCACTTTCTGCATCAGCCTGTACCCCAAAATACACAAACATATTTCTAAGCAGGTTAAGTGTATATAGCTGACGGCTGTCTCCTGAGACTGTCTCCTGAACAAGTTCAGTCATGGGAATGATCCAGCACTTGATGATGAACTGGGAAGACGGATCCCCAACCTCTTTTCTTTGGTAAACTGTGACAATGCACATGAGATACTGGCAGGCCTGGGGCTGTCTGGGGATGTGCCCACATCCATGTTTCAGCTGGGATCAGGAGAACATTTCTGAGGTGAATTTCCCATTTACTGCACTTGTTCCAGCTGATAATGGGCAACTGTGGGGCTATCCTGGTTTTAACTGGGATAGAGTTATTTTTCTTCCTGGTAGCTGGTATAGTGCTGTGTTTTGGATTTACAATGAGAATAATGTTGATAACACACTGATGTTCTAGTTGTTGCTGAGCAGTGCTTACACTGTCAAGGACTTCTCAGCTTCTCATGCTGCCCTGCCAGTAGGGGAGGCTGGGGGTGCACAAGCAGCTGGGGGTGGGGGACACAGGCAGGGCAGCTGACCCAAACTGGCCGAAGGGTTATTCCATTATGTATGGGGTTATGTTGAACAAGGAAACTGCGGGGGCTTGGCCGGGGGGTGGCGGCCCGCTGCTCAGGGACTGCCTGGGCATTGGTCAGCAGGTGGTGAGCAACGGCATTGTGCATCATTTTTTTGTATTTCCTATCACTATTATTATTTTCCCTTCCTTTTTCGTCTTATTAAACCGTCTTTATATCAATCCATGAGTTTTAACCTTTTTTCTGATTCTCTCCTCCATCCCACTGGTGGAACAGCTGTGTGTTCAGCTGGGATAAACCACAACTGGGGCCAAGAGGGAACTCGGCTGGAATAACATCCTCTCTCCACCACACCACTGCCACGGACATTGGGCCCCCAGCAGAAGGTGTTTCACCCTGCAGCACTGCTCCTACTTGATTGATCCTGTTTAAACCAATGTGATTGTCTGTATGAGCAAAGTTGACAGATCTGTCTCTAAGTGGCATTTACTCTCCCATATTATTTGGCATATGAATCATCTGTTTGGGGCAGTGGTGACTGTTTTGTTACCACTGTGAATTTAGGAAAAAATCTACTAAAGTCACTGAAGAAAGTCCATATTTACAGTGGAACAACTGGTGTTAACACTTGACTGGTTTTATCTAGATGTGTGGTGCAGCCTTGTACTGGAGCTAGTTTAATGGGGATCTTCTGTCTTTTGGGATCCTTGAATTTAGGGCTATAGGAAGAAGTAATCAATCAAGATCATTCTTTCTTCCAAAATATCATATACATGGGTGAATTATGCATTTGGTTACATAGTTGTAAATCTGCATATTGCTGTTTGTACCTAGTGACAAAATATTCTTTTAGCATTTTAAATTATTACAGTGAAATTCTCCATGATGTATATGGCAAGTAATACTTTTATCTAGAAATATTGATGACATCTTGCCTATGGCAATGAACAGGTTTTAATACAACAATACAGCAAGCCCTGTCTTCTTAATTAGTTTCTATTGATTAAGCATGCAGATTATTTACAAAAAGTCTAATGCAACGGAAAGGAAGAATAACTAATGCAATGGCTGTATTCCCAGGATCACATGCAATTCATCTTTCCTAAGCTAGCTGAGCCTCTATAATCTAAAGGCATTTATGAAATAATAGGGAGAAAGCTTTAGGTTAAGCATTTTCAGTATAAAAAGTATTTGTTTGATTTGTTTCTTAAGATGAAATTCTCCTATTCTTGAGGGAAAAGGAAAGTGCTCGCTGAGTTAAAGCCACAGACACCTTGCAGTAAGATGTAAGAAGCCTTGTCAGATCACTAATGGAAACAATCTTTATGATGCTGAGATTTTGTAGCTTATAATGAAACATCAAAGTCCAGCCCCTTTAACCTGTATCATCCTCACATGCCCTATTTTACACATCACAGCAATTAGTGAAGTATATAGTATATATTTAGATGAAGGCTTTCTGTCAGGAGCTGGTGATGTAGTGACTCAGCAAGGCATCATCAGAAGGCATTTGTCAGTGCTAAGGCTTTGTACACCTCTGTGGGGGCTAGACCTGACAGATTAATACAAGGGGCTATTTTTGTAACATCCAGAAAGTTTCTGCTGTACATCAAACTGCACTAGCTGCTTATTTTAGATGACATCAATTGATACATTTTTTTTGAACAATACAGTCTTTAGCCCCTTTAGGGTATGTACATCTCCTAAAATGAAACTTTCCTGTGAAGCATTTTGTAGAAGAAGGGCTTCCAAATTGAGATCATCAGAGACATTTTCATCAGGTGCTTCAAACATACCAGTGAATTAACAGCCCATGTACCGAATGTAACAGTCGGGGTGACAGGCTGACTGGGTATCAGGGAGTACTCTGAGCACATCATTTGGGACAACATGAACATCTGGATTCATGCCCTGCTCTCTTCTGCCAGGTTGGGGTTTGGCCCTGGTCAGGGCCAAATGTCTCTTGAAAGAGGCCCTTCAGCTGATTTGGACTTTTATTTATCGT